TGATGAGGCGCCGATGGAGACGGACACCCTGGCGCCGTGGCTGGAGAAGCGGCGGCGGCCGCCCCTGAAGCCCCTATGCCAGAGGCGGGCGCTGAGGCGCTGGCGGTGAGCCCTGGCCCAGCGGCATTGCCCGGCAGGTCTCGCGTCGAGATGCTTGCCGGGCGCGGTGCGTCGGAAAAAGCTGGGCTCCGCGGCGCGCCGCTGGCTGAGCGGCGAAGGCAATCGCGGGCGCGGCTGGCCCCCGCGGGCGAGCAGACCGCGCTCGCCGATGAGGTGGGCGACGGGATGCCGCTGCCGGAGGAGTCCGCGGAGACCGCGCGCGCGCCCGCCGCCGAGCGCGCGGCCCCCGTCATCGGCGAAGGGTGGCTCGAGACCGACGAGAAGCGCCAGTGTTGCGCGGCGGCGCCAGGGGGCCCGTCGACGCGGCCGCGGTCGACCAGGCGCCCTGCTGCCCCTTGCGTTTCAAGCTGAAGTGGGAGATGAAGGGTGGGCAGAACATGGCCGATGCGCGCGCCGTGCCGGGGGCTCAGGCATCGCTGCGCGGTCGAGGGCCAGCTCGATATGGGGGCGCCGATCTTCGGCGGGCTGGGATGGCGCGCTGTCATGCTGTGGGCGTCTTTGAGAAAGTCGAGGTTTCTCGCGGCAGGTGCGAAATCGGCGTTCCTGCCAGCCGAGGGCGCGGGGCGCTCGCGACCGCGGGCTGCCCGCGGGCCCGGCGAGGGGGCCGACGGACCTGCTGAGGTCCCAGATTGGCTTGCGGCCTGGCTAGCTAGAAACGATGATCAAGCCCTGCTTCGGGGACCGACGGCGCCCGAGCTGCGGCGTCGCCGATCCGCCGAAGTCGCGAAGGAGATCGGGTTCCAGAGCGTCATCAGTAGCAGCGGCGAGGGCGCGCGCGTTCAGAGGGGCCCGCGCGCCGAGCTCGACTAGATGTTCGAGTTCGGCACGCCGGCCGCGATCTCAGCTGGGTGCGAGGTCGAGCAGTCGCTGGGGAACCGCGCCGCGACGGTCAAGTTCGTGAAGTCTCTGCGCGGCGAAGCTGATCACGACCCGCGGGTGCGTTGCCGCCCTCGGGGGCGACGAATTTCAGGGAGCCCAGCGGCCGTTTGCAGTGGCCAGCAGCCCAAGGGGTGTTCTTTGCGGCTTCCGCAGTGTCTTTCCGCGCGGGCGCTACCAGAGACGCCTTGTGATCCCTCCGCGCCAGAGAGCCTCTGATTCAATGGCGTGCGCCGCGCAACCGACCCGTCGGGCCGTCTTGGCGACCTCTTTGGGGCGTCTGCGGCTATATTGGGTCGATCTTGTTGGGGGCTTCTTGGGCTGGGCTGTTGTGGGCTTCGTGAACGGCCGAGACGCGAATGTGCTAAACATGTGCGTTTTGTTGTTTTGCATTGTTTTCTCCTCTCTCGTCTTCCTAGGGGGGTGCGGCGATTTTTGCTTCTTGAGGGCTCTTGGGGTGCTTCCTGGTGGCTTCTTGGGGCGTCTAGGGGGCTCCTCGGGCCGTGTGGGGGCAATCTCGGGCGTCGTGGAGCGCTCTCTTGACGAGTCGTGGCCCTCTTGGACCGTCGGGGGGGCCTCGCGCGGCCCTCTTGGCCCATTCTGGGGCCCTCTTAGGGCCGTCCCAGGGCCATCCTGAGCCGTTTTGGTGGCTTTGGGGGCCCTCTTGGCGCCCTCTTGGGTGCCTCTTGGGTTGTCTTGGGTCGATATTAAATGCCTCTTGGGCTGTTGTCGGCTCTCTGGGCGCCTCCTGGTAGCTTCTTGGGCCGTATTGGTGGCCTCTGTTGTCGTCTGGAGGCGGTTCAGGAGGCATTTTGGGGACCCTCTCGGCCCATTCTGGGCCCTCTGCGGGCCGTCCTGGCGCTCTCCTGGGCCGTTGTGGTGGTTTTTGGTGCCCTACGTGCTAGCAGTGCGCGTTTACTGTCAGAAATGAAACGACTCCTGCTTCTTGAGGGCCTTTTGGGACGCCTCTTAGTGGCTTCTTGAATCTTGGACGTCTGGGAGCGACCCTTCGGTGACTCGTAGCCCTCTGGGACCGTCCGGGGGGCCTTTTGGGATTCTCTTGGCCCATTTTGAAAGCCCTCCGAGGCTCAAGGGGCGCGGCTGACCCGTTTGCTCCCCCCTCCTCCCCCCCCCCAAGTAGGCCAGAACGGGCTCCCGGGGGAAGGGTTTGGGGAGGGGGAAGCATCTCGCGCGCCGTGACCCCAAAGGGGTCGGCGGACTTCGGGAAAACCTGGACACACACATTAAAGCAATTGGGACAACTTATAGAACAAGGGACACACAATTTTACAAGGCATGCATCGGTGTAGCGTAATTGGTGCAGAAGGGTTACTGTAGTCTTTTGCGGCCTTGGTTAACCAAAGGCTGGTAATGTAGTAATTTATTCGGCGCGCGTCGGTTGGCGGCCTCCATGAACTATTTTTTTGATGCTGCCGTAGGTTTTCGAGAGAGCCTGGGTCTTCTGAGGCGTGCGATCGACAGTTGACGTGCGAGAGACTTGCAAGCACGACGGTTTTTTCGCAGCTCGCACCTCCCAGGGATGGCGAAGTGTCATGCTAATGTGTGTGCGACACCACTCCGCTGAACCTCCTAGGAGTTGACGACGCTTGCGGCATTTTCCAGTCCGTAGCCCCCCAGAGGCGGACGGGGAGCATAACGGAACAGGAGGAGGGGGGGATGGGGGATGTGCGATCCCGCAGATCGCGAGGATGTCTCGATCGAGGCGCTTGTTTCAGCGCCTGAAGGGAGGGCCGCCATCAGGGAATTTATTGGAGAGACCTGCCAGCCGGTGCCGCGGACCTTGATCGTCGACGACGACGAAGACGAGGGAGGAGGAGGAACAGGAGGACAAGCAGGATGAGCAGAAGATGAGCAAAAGGAGGAAGAGGAGGCGGTGGGCGAGGTGGGGCAGCAACAGGAGGACGCGGGGGACGAGCAGGAGGAGGAATGAGCAGTTGGAGGAGGCTCCGGAGGAGGGGAAGGAGGAGTGGCAGGAGGAGGAGGGGGAGGATGCGGCGAAGACGACGACGCTGATCTTCGGAGCGCTGTCGGGAACCTCAGGGGAGCACTTTGGGGGCCTCTTGGGGCTTCCTGTTTTTTTTTTGGAAGCTTCTTGGGGCTTCTTCGGGCCGTTTGAGCGCTCTTGGAGCCTCTTGGAGGCCTCTTGGGGGTTCCTTGGGGCTTCATGGGGCGGAAGTGTATAATTCTCGGTTCCTCGCCCCCCTCTGGGCACTCTCTTGGGCCCGTCTTGGGGCCCTCTTGGGCCGTCTTCGGCGCCTCTTGGGCCGTCCTGCGTCCCTCTTGGGCCGTCTTGGAGCCCTCTCGGAGGCATCTTGGGCCGTCTTGGGGCGCTCTTGGGGGCCTCTTGGGCCGTCTTGGACCGTCGGAAAGCCGAAAAGGCGACAAGGCTGAAGTCATTCAAAAACCAAGGTAACATTGACGATTTTGGCTCCTGGGACCCTCTTGGGAGTGCTCTTGGCGCTCTCTTGGAGCTTCTTGGGGGCCTCTGGGGCCGTTTTCGAGCAGTCTTGAACGTCTTGGGGCGATCGTTCGTCGATGCGTGCCGCTCTTGTACCGTCTTGGGGATGTCTTGGGGCGCTTTTGGCCCGTCTTGGGGCTTTTCTTGGCCTTGCTACCCCCAGGAAAACGAATCTGGGTGCGACTCCCCCGGGACCCCCCTGGGACCCCCCAGGACCCCCCCAGGACCCCCCCGGGACACCCCAAGGACCTCCCTGGGACGCCCCCCCCTCGCGCGGGGAAGGGATTAAAGGGAAGGGGCTTTCCTTCGACTGAGGCGTTTGTTTCAGCGCCCTAAGGGGGGGCCGCCATCGGGGAATTTATTTAAACTCCTCCGCCTCATTTCCACCTGCTCCCCCTTCTCCTCCCCGTTTGCACATTCAGATTCACCAACACTCACACTTACTCTTGTTCAGACTCGCTCGGACTCGTACTCAGACCCACCCATCATCATGTTCACAATCACATTCACACATTGTCAGAATCGCTCATGCTCACACAGGGAGGTGTTTTCCATCTTGGAACCCATCATTGGAGCATCGGGGGCCTTCTTGGAACCGAGCCGCCCGTCCTACTCGTTGTTGTCCAGCTCTTCCGCCCTGTTCAGACCCTTGGGGCGGGCAGGGCGTGGGCAAAACCCTCTCAGGTGGGGAATGCCGTGGCGACTCGCAATGGCGACAACCGCCGTGGCGACCAGCCGCGGCGACAGGGTCGACTGCGGTGCGTCCAGTCGTGGCGACCAGCTGCGGCGACCAACTGTGGCGATCAGCCGTGGTGACAGGGTTGAATCCAGCCGCGTCGACCAGCCGTGGCGTGTGGCGCGAGGCGTTTCGCATCCCACTTCCTCAGAGTGATATTGTTGTTGGATTCACTGCGCGGTTTCGTCGCCTTGGGGGGGGCGGGGGCGGGAATGGCGGGGTCACTTTTCACGCATTTGGAGTTAATTTTACAAAATGCTCCCTTGAGCTTGGGATCGGGTTCGTCTGGAGGCCCTTGTCCAGGGGCCGCGTCCAGGCCCCGAGGGCCCGTCGGAAACGAAGGTGCGAACACTTAAACGCAATTGCTTTTGTGATTGCTGGATTGTGCTGTGCCATCTTGTGCGTTGTGGGGGCTGGGGGGGCGGGTGGCACCCGTGGGAGATGGTGGTGGTGGTGGTGGTGGACGAGGTGGAGGAGTTGGAAGAGGAGGCGGAGGAGGTGGAGATTCTAGGGCCTTTTGGGCGGCTCATCTACCGCCATAGCAAGTATCCACATTCGCGGCTTTGAAGTCGCATGCCCGGGTCTTTCCTGGAGTGGCGGGTATGCGGATGTCTGCCTACCCCTGCGGGCTGGGCAACGTCCATGTCCCCACATCCCCCAGGGCGCCTGGGCAGGATTCTAGAAGATGTGGATGTGGACGCGTCCTGGTGGTGCAGTTTAGGACGCTCTGCGCAGACACGTGCGTGCCTCAGATGATTTGTGAAGCCCCCTCTTGGATGTTCCCGGGAGGCCATTCATCCAGCGGCGGGGCGGCGCCGGACGGCCTGAACCTCGGCCGCTCCGGGCCGCCCGGGCTGTTCCGCGCCGTGGCGCACCTCAGCTTGGCGGCTGCAACAGGGGCGGGCACGGTCGGTTCGAGCGATGAGATCTGTACAGATCCACTGCCCCTGGCGAGGCCCATCCTGGGCCCGGATCGGCGTATACACCGCTCCTTGGCCAAGAAGGGGCCTGGCCAGGGGTGGTGGATGTGTATCGATTTCGTCGCCATGAGGTTGCCGTCGTGCCGACGCGGCGGCAATCTCGCCGCGGGCGTTCAAGATTAAGAGCGGCCAGTGGCCCATAATCGGCCAATATGAAATGATCTGATGTTCAAGGTTGAACGTTCAAGGTCAGAAAGTATCGCCGGGGCTGTCACGACCCGAACCCGCCGCAGCCCAGGGTCGGCGGTCCAAAGATACGGCACCGGGGGATGGGGTTGTCGGGAAAGCAAGTGGATCACACATTGAGCCCTCGCTGCTTGAGGTTCTCGTCCGTAGGGCCCGTTGTTTGTGAACCGCGGGCAGGGGTAAACATTGCACATAGTGTGAGATGCCGATTGAGGCAAATTGCAGGGGGAAACGGTTAGGCAACCTGCTTTTTGCCGCCTGTGAAACATGTTGGAGGTGACGATCATATAATCTCAATGGCGACGACGCCGACGAGCAGGTCTGCAACCCAGAGTAGTAATTCTTCACGCTTTGCGTATCCCCACCAGAGTCCGTAGCCACTGGCTCAAGCCTTGGCTCAAGCCTGGCTCAAGCCGCTGCCCTTTTCCCCCCCCCCTGGCGGGGGGGATCGGGTTAGGGCTCATGGAGGCGTCCAGACGCACCCGGCCCCCCGCTCTGGTCTCCTCGCCTGGGGCCCTCCTCATGGCCTCGGCTGCCGCGGCCGCCAGGGTCCCAGCGTCTCGGACCACGATCCGCCGCCGCCAGCGGCGCGCGGCTGCCTCGCGCGGCGCGCCGCCCCCCGGGCTGGCGCCGCTGCTTGCTGCTGGCGCAGGCGGGTTTTTTGCTGCTGCCGCCCTCGCCGCTGGTAGGTCCCCCGACGCTGGCGGCGCCGTTCCGCGCGCGGCCGCCGGACCCCTGGACTCCGAGGCGGCTGCCGCCTGCGCCGACGCGGCGGCCGCCGGTGAGGCGGCAGCCGCCGTTGGCCCTTGGCCGGCCGCAGCGGCTCTGGCGCGCTCGGCCTGCCGCCCTGGCGGCCGGTGCCGTTCCCGCTTCCTCCTGGCCGCCACCCGCGGCGGCAATTCGGCAGGGCGCCGCCGCGGCGGGCGCCTGCTTCGGGCAGTGCGCTGCCGCTGCCGCTGCTGGCCCGCTGCCGGCCCAGCCGCCGCCGCCGCCACTGGCGCGGTCGGCCCCGACCTCTCGCGGCGTCACCGCTGCTGCCGCCACCAGCTCGCCTGCGGCCGGCGGCGGCCCCTGGCGCGCCGGCCTGCCCGCCTTGGCCGCCGACGCTGGCGGCTCGCGCGAGGCGGCCGCCGCGGCTCTCGCCCCTGCGGGCGAGGGGCCCGCCTTGGCGGCCGCCGCCGATGCCAATATTGCCGCCGCTGCCGCTGCCGAGGCCTGCTCCCCGCTCGCCGCGGCGGCGGCGGAGGTCGCGGCAGCCAGCGCCGCTGCGGTCGTCTGCGACGACGAAGAGGACCTGGAAGATGAGGGCGTGAGGATCGAGATGCAGGAGATCGTCGACAGCAACAGCAGCAGCAGCAGCAGCAGCAGCAGCAGCAGCAGCAGCCCCCTGGTGACAGCCCCCAGGTGTCAGCAGCAGCATCCTCACAACTCTGACAGCCAGTAAGGGGTACCCTTGCACCCTTGCAGCCCTGTGTCCTTTGGCGAACAAGGTACCCTTGCATCCCCGTGTCCGAGTCCTGACGCCCTCGCGGGCACCCCTGGCGGCCAGCAGACCTCTCAAAGACATGCAGGGCCCGTTAGGCCAGAAAGGAACGCTGCGGTGGGGTCATCGGACTCCCAAGGAGAAGCAGGGCCCGCTAGGCCAGAAGGGAACGGGGTTGACAGTCAGGAAGAGGTTCCCTTGCACCCTTGCATCCCTGTGTCCTTCAGCGAACAATGCACCCTTGCTTCCCCGTGTCCGGGCCTTCGCAAATTTCAAAGCGTGCAGACGGTCATCAGCCGTGATCCTGGCACCCCCCTTTATACAAAGCGATCAGACGGCCATCAGCCGTGATCCTCGCTACTCTGACAGTCAGAAGGAGGTGCCTTTGCCCCCTTGCCGCCCTGTGCCCCTTGGCGAACGAGGCACCCTTGCATCCCCGCGCCCGGGCCCTGACGCCCTCGCGGGCACCCCCGGCGGCCAGCAGACCTCTCGAA